AAAAAAAAAAAAAAAAAAAAAAAAAAAAAAAAAAAAAAAAAAAAAAAAAAAAAAAGGTGGAGTGCAGCGACGCCCAAAGTTCGGCTACCGGTAGTGCCTTTTGTGGTTTGCGGCCGCTATGTGACCGGTCGGGGTGGCATTTCAGCAAAATCGAAAAAGCAAAAATAGCAGATTTAGCAGGGGATGGCAAAAATAGCAGATTTAGCAGATTTTGCTGCTATGGCACCGCTGTGTGAGTACCCCCTTAAGGTAGCAAAGCCCTCCATCACCAGATGGCCGCGGTCTGTTCGAGAAAGGAAAGCCTTCTCCATCGGGCCTCTAATCACTGCTCTCCAATGGTGGAATTGGGCAATGAACTTTCCGCAAGAACATGCACAGATGCGCTTCCATATGTTTTGTCTTTTGTGAATGTCGAGCTCAGTGCAGCTGGGCCCATTAATTCATACCGCGTACTCGGCGACGACGGGGGCAACTTCCTCTGCCTTATTTTTTTTTTTAGGTACTCCATGTGTGTGGAAGAACTTTAAGGGCGCCGGCCGTCGCAATGTGCGGTCTAGTTCTGAAGACAGGAACAGGTCCGCCGGTAGTGGGACTCGACGCCCGGTTGGCAATGAGTGGGCCTCAATCTTAGGGATCCCCACGATGAAGCACACAGTACCGCCACTAGTGGGACTCGAACCTCGGTTGCCAATGAGTGGCGCTTCCATCATCGGGATCCCCGCGAGGAAGCACACAGTGGTATGTCCGGCGCAACAGATTGGCCGTGGGATCCCAGCGAGGAAGCACACTGTGGTATGTCCGGCGCGAAAGATTGGCCGCGGCGGTTTCGTAATCCGAAGTGGACTGTACAAGAACTGGAACAGCATACCTTTCTCGGCCTTTTGGCTAAGATCAGATCAAGTGTAGTATCTGTTCTGATCATCAGTTCAATATCTGATCCGTGGTCCATAGGGCCACACGATATTAAATTACATTTTCAGGGCTATGGAGGGGGCACAGGGGTAGGCTTGCCTGCTTGACCCTTCCAGCGTTGCCTTGGTATTGCACTGCAGCGAAGCGTGGCGAAGCCCATCCACGCCCCCGAGGAAATAAACGAAACAAAACAAAAAAAGAGAACTGGAACAGCAGCGCGTTCGCTGTTCCATTTTTATTTTTTATTTTTTTTAATCAAGCCATTTCATATAAAACTTGATAAAAGAGGATAACCAACGAGGCCGGGGACCTCACAATTCAACCTGCGGCGTGGTCCCACTAGCAAAGAGGATCGGATCGAATGCCTGAATCTGGACGAGTTTATGGAGATGTGCAGGAAATCGAGATTGAACTGCTTTTCTGTATCTCTGCATAAAACATAGCCAGATTCGGGATTTCTATCCTATCCCCTTCGCTAGTGGGACCACGGCCCTGGTGTTTTGGCTACGATCAAGTGTAGTAT